TTTGTAATGTATCTCTTCTGTAGATATTTACAGTGAGTATCTGCGGTGTATTAGGGAACTTTGACGGCTTGTGCGTTCGGTTCTCCTTCCTGCTTATTATTTGAATCAATTCGATGGTACCGTCACCAGTACCAACCAGCAGTTTCCCGTCCTTCAGAAGCAGCAGGCTTCTCACCCCGCCCGCGTACAGATCACCCTCACCCGTCTTCATTTTTCTCTTATCGCGCGTTATCTTCGAATAGCAGCCGATCATCACCGGCGAACGCGCCGGCGATTCACCGCATCCCAGATCATCGCGTAAGTTTAATCTGCAAAAAAAAAAAAAAAAGGAAAAAAAATTAAGCACGACGAAGTGATAGATAAAGCTAAAAGAAGATAAAACATAAAAGCGATTAAAAGATAAGTATTAATGGAATGATAAGCAAAAATTTTTATTCTCAAACGGCATTTCTGTATGTGACCTTGCGTTAATGATATCACCGGAAGAAGTGCCGCAGTAAACGATCTCATCCCTCTCGTCCACGGCGATGCAGTTGATGAGACGCTTCAGTTTGCCCACTTCCACGTCGATTCCGTGCACCCTTCGCTTCTCCGCCTCGATGCGCCAGATCTTCAGGGTCCTATCGCCCGCGGTGACGAAACACCCACCGTGAAGATGCATCCTCGCGATATTGTACGCGTCGCCGCTTGTATCGTTGCTGGCTAATGATCCTGCGAGAGAATCGTTTCTCGCATAATGTTACGTCAAACTTATAATTATACGTATAATTAAGATTGTTTCACAGATTGCGAAAGATAAAGTTGGAGAACTCTCGAGAATCAATCTGTCTCTCCAAATCGAATGTACTCTTGACTTTCGGATTTGCAAAGATGGGGATCTGTATTGATTACAAAAAAAAAAAAAATTTGAACAGAGAGGATACCGCATATGAGAGAATTCTTCTGGACGTCCCAGACGATCACGTTGCCGTCATCCCTGCCGCCGAGGCTCACGAGGAAGTCGCCGTTGCACGTGAAGCACAGATCTTCGACGCCGACTTTGTGCGTCTCGTAGCTGCCCATCATCGTACCCTCTTTGTAATTCCATACGATTACCATAGCCTGCGACAAACGTAAAATGCAGGTAAGATTGCGTAAAATACAATTGAATATGCTTATAATAAGAAATGGAAATGTTAAGGACCTTGTATACAGGGTGGCCCACGTAAAGCGTTACAATCTAATAACTCTAAAAATATTTGTCAAATCAAAAAATTGTTCAGGAGAAAGTTTCATGTTTTCAAGGAGCCTTTCTAACTACATAAACACAAAATTGCCCCCGCTCCCCCTCTAGAGGGGGCTGGGGGTAACTTTAAAATTTTAAATAAAAACACTCATTTTTTATTGCACATTCTTGTAGCTTATCTCGAGAGCTTTTCAAAACACTATAATAAAGTATTTTTTCATTAATTACTTTTTGAGTTATTTTATATCTTAATCTGACATATTTTGATATAAAAAATAAAATATCTCGTAAAATATTTAGTTTTCGATAATCTTACCGTAATACTTTTATGTACAGAATAATGAGACAAATCAATTAGTAAAAAAAAAATAATTGTTTTTAAGAAAAAGTATGTAATTATTTACAATGCGATTTAGCAATTATTTGTTTTTTTTTTCATTATTCTGTACATAAAAGTATTAAGTTAAGATTATCGAAAACTAAATATTTTACAAGATATTTTATTTTTTATATCAAAATCTGTCAGATTAAGATATAAAACAACTCAAAAAGTACTTAATGAACAAATACTTTATTATAGTATTTTGAAAAGCTCTCGAGATAAGCTACAAGAATATGCAAAATAGGGGTTCCCATTTAAGATTTCAAAGTTACCCCCAGCCCTCTCTAGAGGGGGAGCGGGGGCAATTTTATGTTTACGTAGTTAGAAAGGCCCCTCGAAAACATGAAACTTTCTCATGAACAATTTTTTAATTCGACAAATATTTTTAGAGTTATTAGCTTGTAACACTTTACGTGGGCCACCCTGTATATACCTTGAAACCAAGATGATTATTTTGGCCGGAAGCGACGTATTTTCCGCACGGAGAAACGCATAATGCCGAGACATTGTTCGTGTGACCGCTGAGGAATCGTTGCTCCCTGGTTTCGATGCTCCTTATGACTACCTTGTGGCCCATCGGATAGAGGAGATGCTTCTCGTCCGGATGTAATCGCAGAGCGTTTTTCGTTATACCTCAAAATGAATAAGTATAATTTATTATAATTACATATGAAATTTAAAAGAAACACGGTAAAACAATAATACAATAAATATAATTGTACGATACACTTACAAATTAATATATATAAAGTGCATGTGTGTGTGTGTGTGTGCTGTATAAAATTTTTTTAAATTGTTAAAATATTTTTAAATTAAATTTCTTTTATAAATCACGTTCACAAGGATTCAGATTCCTCGGTTCTAAATTTCATTTATCTCGTTCGATTAATCCTGCCAATTTCGAATCCGCGATAACAAATCTTTAGTATCTATAATTTATAAAATCGTTTTTCGAGCTTAGAGTTTCGTTTCGTTATCCATAAAAATTTAGAATGATAAAATCTAAGTGCTGCTTTTCGCACAAACCATCGAACGCGATTATTCCGATCGTTTCGAGATCCCGGGGCTCCATTGTTGACGGGTTCCTTGCACCAACTTTGCGGTAAGATAAAGTGTATTATTCTGAGAGATACACACGTAGAGAAGTTGTGTACTTATGGAAACGATATAAACTGGCGTTGCCGTGGCGATAAATTGATTGTACGGTATCTATGCACCCTCCTTGTGCGTTCCCGTCGACTTTCCGCAGTGGTGTATTTTGCGTACGATTATTTTTTAATAACACGTCTGAATATATATGAAATAAATAATGAATATTTTTTTATCAATGATATTGTATGCATTTCGGAATAAAATTAAGAATGGTTTGTTCTATTATTTAAATTATATAATATATTTTTATATATCTCTTGTATCATGTTATAAAAAATATATATAAATTTTAAATCTTTAAATATATTGTCATATAATTAAATTTGTCTAATTTTCTATTCTAAATCACATTGATAGAAGATATTGTTACGGGTTTATTTTAACCGAAATATTTGTCGAAAGAGTACAGTGATTGTTTTCAAATTATAATATTCAAATATAGTAGAATTTCATGAAAATCATACAAAAATGTAGTTTTTTAGATTACAATTAAATGCTGCTTCAGGTGCTTGCAAAACTTTGCGGCGAAATATTGCAAAGTAGTATATGTTAACATTGCCTTAAAATGCAGCCTTGCGTCGTGCTTGAAATATAATTAGCATCGATATCGCATATCGATATCGACCACCTGACAGACACATGTACAAGATCGCGTGAATCAGAATTTGCACGCGCGCATGCAAAGATCTAACAAGAGATGTCGTTCGCCATGAAAGTATACGTGAAAAGAATTCGTCAAATGAAATAATTATAGAGGACACAAAACGGATGAATAATTTTTATCCGAAGGTGAAGTACCCGATTTAAGGTGAATGTCTCGTTTCAAGCGCACGAAGCTCAAGTAGAAGCTGACATTAAAGAAGCATACATTATGTCGCAATAAATAGTCGCGCACGCGAAACCGAGTACGTTGTCGAGAAAAATCTAACACAATTCCGAGAAGATTTGAAAGATAAAAATCGCTAAAGTTTATTACGCAATTAGAATCAAAATTTATATATCTTCTATTTTTGTTTCTAATTATTGCACAATGCACGTTACATAATACACGTAATTCTCTTGCATAGCTTTCATTATACTCCGACGTAAGAATAAGACAGATATTTTAAATTTCTTCCGAGAGTTATTTCTCCAGCTATCTAACAATAAGATTTAGCGATAACAAATATGATTACGTTCTTGGGAATTTTTTAATCGCGCAAAAATCGAAAGAGAAAAGTATACACTGCTCTAAACTTCGAAACACGCCGCGAAATGTTTTTTCTCCTCCGGCACTTCGGAAGATCCAGCGGGAAAAACCGGGGGAGATGATCGCGCGCGTCCCAGTATTTCTCTTTAAAATATCGATGCGCACACGCGCTGACTCCGCGATCCGAGACTGCTTATCGCTTTTTACCACTCTTACCTGCATTCCTCTCTCATTCCCCACCCTGGATAATGCGCGACGAGCAGTACATAAAGCAGATATATAAAGGGAACTTATCGAGGGTGCCGGATTCAGTCGCTCGCGACACGTGTGTGCGGCTTCTTGTCGGAGAAGTTGACAGCAGGAGGAAGTTGGGAGTTGGATGAGATCTGTGCGGTGACTTATATATTCGAAAATTATCGTGAAACACAAAAGGGGCAACCTCGATAAGGGGAAAACGAAGTGCGCGAATGCCATCACTTTTAACGAAATAATAGAAATAGAAAAAGACAGAGACGCATATCATTGACATATCTCGCGTGCCTAGTAAATCTTCAAGGATGATCTCTGCGTGGAAAGCATGTTGTAAGTACGATCTCGATCTCGTGATCTTTGCGTGAAAAGCATGTTGTAAGTACGATCTCGATCTCGCATTTAAATCATTATCGCGGATACCCATTCTCCTGAATTTATTTACATTTTGTCGAGTAATTAAACATATTTGATAAACTCGTGATTTATCGCCGCGGAATCGAAATGGATTGAGCGATTTGCTGATTAATGAGTTCATCGATAGCGGCGAATTTTTGTTGCGACATCGTGTGATGTGTTTTATCGATATCAGAAACTGGATGTCAAATACCACCCGAACCGGATTGTAATAAAAAAAGTGCTTATGCGTTTCCTCTACCGCGGCAAAATCAACGTTGATATCTAGGACGCAAAAAAACCAGTCGGTGCCGTTAAATATTGCCGAGTGTTCCGCAGTCAACCTGACATTTTTCAGAAAAAACACATTTTTTTTTTCTCGCACTAAGCAAAGATAAATAATGTAGTTTTTTTTTAAATTATCAGGTATTGCATAGTCATACGAGTCAAGTATAACAAGTATAAAAAGATCATTTACAACATGATATAAAAATCAAGTATAACGTAATAAAAAAAAAAAAAAAACCATTTTGCAAAGCGATAAATGTGTCATGTGCCGCATATCGATGCAGATCACTGTGTTTTAATATAATTCGCAGTTTAAGTATACGGTAAACTTTTGGAAAATGTTGAACAATTTTCTTGAGTATGAAGCCGAAAGCGGTAGATAGCGCGATAATCGTGCAATCAGCTCGTATCAAATCGTCTTTATCGTTTGTGTATTTCAAAAACGCGGCTGTCACTGTTTAACAAAACGATCGAGGATCATTGATTAGAAATCTTGATTCGTTAAGATTACAGCTTTAAACCTATCATAACTTTCGCGTTCGTTTGACCGCGTAGGCGGGAATACCTTGACATTAATTGCAACTCGTTCGTTTACACAGCACTTCCTGACATTCACGTAATCGCGCGAGGTAGTCGCGCGAGTATATGCATAGACCATCAAAATTCATATCTCTTTTTTTTTTTTATTTGGAACGGACTGAACCGTGACAGGATCGATCAAGGTCGATCAGAAGCGCGAAAAGTCATAATGCTGGAAGAAATAAAAGGAGAGATCCGTGACGAATTTATGTCCAGCACACTATTTATCGACTTTAGTCAGACTCATGTCTAATTTTTTTATCATATTCTTTCTCTTTCCTTCTCTCTCTCTCTTTTTCTTGCAAACCTTGAATAGATATCGATCACAACAATTGGCTACCGGAAATTGGCGCACATATCACGTCTCTTGGTCAAGGCCGCTTTTTTCGTTTTTCGCTTGTAAAGCCTGAACGTTTGCTTTTGCTTATGCAGAGAAACCGTGCACGTTCGTGGATCACGCACTCATTACGACATTTTGGCAATCGTAGCACGATTGCAAATATCTCGCTGTATATATTAAGGAAGAATAGTCTGACTTGAAAAGTCTGGCATGGAAAATGGATTTCACGGAAGAAGCCTTCGGAATTCTTAAAAAAAAATCATTGTATCTCTTAAAACCCAACTGAATAACGATTGCATCCGTAAAGAAACTTTAAGCGTACAAGGAATTATACATCTATTTATATATGTATAATAGATTGTATATTTTTGAATATATATATATATATATATGCATATATTTATCTTCTTCAAATATAATTCAAAAGGTACTCTGAAGATTAAAATTGTCAGATTTATTTTATTTTAATTTATTTTTTTAAAATTTTAATTAACTTTGCCAATATTTCATCGCAATTCACATTGAATTAAGTTTGAAAATTTACGAAATTAATTTTAAGATTGTTCACTTTCGCGCTTTTGGCATGAATAGTTTATTGTACGCGATAATGGACATAATTTTCCGCAAACTTTTCTTTGATTCCGCACGAATTATCCATCTAAAAGTTTTCATTCAAAAAATCGTAAATAAATATTATTAAATATCAATTAAATAAAATTAAATATCATAAAGCAGTGTAGTTTCAGCAATTTTACGTAAAAATCTTTCTTCTTGTAGGAGGAAAGTTATGGGATCGACCACTTAAATGTTGATGATACAATACTATAACGCATTCGTACTTTTCCCTAAAGTCACATATATACATATATATCAGTCAATTAACAGCCGTAAATCATCACAACTTCGCCACGATATGTGTAAAAATGTTATGCCTTTCGATATTTTTCTTGCTTCCAAGAGAAGATTACGTCATCGATCATCCGTAATGTCGATGATCTCGCCATTAGCGATGTACGTCGCGATCGGTCGCGTTACTTCATTTTAATGAGACGCTGCGTAAATTTAATATCGTGCTATGTTCCATCCGTGTGTCGTGTTTGTTCATCTATTTGCGAGCATAATCACTGTCGTTTATTGAAAATAGCAGAGTTCGCGGAACTGATCACAGAAATTAAATCGCGAGCGCGTGTTGGCTCGCTTCGCCACGGCGGAAACGATCGTTCTTGTTATCATTTTTCTTGACGAATCAACATCCAAATACATATAAAAAATTATGATAAAGAAAAAGAGAGAACTATTATCGATAAAACTAAGCGTTAAAGCTTCTTCGAGCATGTATTTCCCGCATATCGCGAGATAAGATAATGCACTCAATACAGTAGGCGTTTCCAGCATTCTTTGAGCAAGTAATTGTTAGATAACATTATTAGTGTATCAATTGTGGTGCGTGTTTATATTTTATCACGCCTATATTGCACGCTGAAAAATGTTAGTTAAGGCAACGACAAAAAAAATTTAACATTGCATATAATATACATATATGTATATATATATAGTGTAATCGCATCGTAAAGCCAATTTAAAAAACAATTATCCACCGAGAAAAAAAAATTAAATTTTTTAATTTATTGATTGTGTTGTATATATTATGGCTTCTGCATATCTATTAATTATTACTATTATAGACACTCTAATTTTATAAAGAGTACCGAAGATTTCTGGAGCTTGATTATAAATTAAAAACGATCGTAATAATTATCTGACTAATAAATTTAGAGCCCAATTAATCGCGAAATCGCATTTTTCTTTAGAAGCTTGCCATCTCTCGCCGTGGGTTTCTGTATTTGTTCAAATTGCGAGACTATTGTAAGCAAGGTCCCCCGACGTCTCCTCAAGTAGCGGCACTCAATGATATCGCAGACCATTGCTATTGTTATTTTCGAGCAATATATCTTCAAGAAGTTTTTGGAAAATAAATGGATCTCACGTCCGATGGACGCGAGACTCATTCTTTATTCGTTGGACGCGTCTATCGCGATATCAATCATTCGAATCAGCTGATGCAGATGTATATCCTGCTTATTTAGATGTATACGATCACGCATGCACGCGCACGCATATGCCGCATGTGTATACGTTTGTATGTTGCATAAGCACATAGACGTATATATATATATATATATATATATATATATATATATATATATTATATACACGTGCGTGTACACACAAATTATTAAAATGCAAGCGTGTATCGCAAAATTCGCATACGTTTCGGTATTTTTGCAAAATAAGAGAGAATAATGCGCGTGTCGGAGATATAAAATATTGTATTATTTTTAAAGATACTCCCCTCCGTTCTCTCACGATACTTCACTATATATCGATTACTTCCGTGGAAGTACCAAAGCTGTACAAAGTTCGAATAGTTGTGTATTGTGCGCACAAAGGATATACAAAACGAAAAGAAGCTTCTTAATTTAAAATCAAAAAATTAATTTCTATAATTCAACGCTATTTCTCGGTTACTTGTTTGATTTTTCGTAACTACAAGTAATCGTTTGTACAACGAGAATACATCAGCGATTTAGGCATAAACTGTACATAAAAGAAGTCATCATTATACATTTTTAAGAAACATACTTACACACAAATCAAATCTCGTATGCGTCTTTTTACATTATTGAAACGTCAATGTTTACGCGACATATCTTGTAACGACGAATCATATAATCGGCATAATTAAGCTGTAAGCTTGTCTGCTCGTGAGACGCTCCTGTTTTATCTTTGTGGAACGTTTTATCATGAAATTTTATATCGACATTTTATTAATAAGTAAACAGAAGATAAGCGCAGACAAGCGAGAAGTAATAATTTGCAATAGAGACATCGTTTTGGTATGCCAATTCTTGAGAAAATACTTGAGAAAAACTAGATTGCACATTTATCGAAAATATTGCTGACGCATTTTTGACACGCGACGATGACATCGGTTTCCATCCTAATCAATAATAGCGATTTGTTTCCGCGTTTAGGGATTAATAATAATAATTTCCGCATTATCATCGAGCAGATTATTTTGACAATTTTATCTGTGACAATATAAATTAATAATAATAATATAATGTATATATATTTTTTTATATATATATAAGAATGTTTATAATAAGTGATTATTATATATGTATATATTATTATTATTATAATATATATAATAGTAATAATAATAATAATAATATAAATATATATATCTTTTTTCTCGTACATGATAGAAAAAATTCCAAAGTCGAAATTAATGATTTTTCAAAATCCCGTGCAATTTGAGGCATAAAACCGAAAAAAGTAATCACGATTGATTTATATTTGTTATTAATAAGTCATTAAATCTTTCGTCGAGGTGTTAAATATAATTTCGCAAATATCTGACGGCTTTTGCAGTATCTATTTCGTAATTGGATTCTATATATAACACGTTGGTTATAATGTGACAGAATATCTCGCGGATTTATGTTTCTTGCACAGCGTATGATTCCTAAAGCCCTTGCGATTACGCTTCGTAATAAATCATATTGTGCGCATCGTAAGTTATTTTCTGCTAATTCATACTCCAAGTAACTCAACACAAGCGACAAGAGATAATTCACACCGAGATATATCGCAGATTTGATGATAATAATAATCTATTTTAATCGCTTCGTTCGTTTCAATTGTTTCGAGCGGTAGAAAAAAAAAAAAAAAAAAAAAAAAAAAAAAAAAATAGAACAAAAATTCGCTTTAATCCCCGAAAAAACCGATCGATGATTTCATTGCGCAAAAAAACAATTATCATTCTTTATCTGCCAAGTACATTCAGCGGTTTTAATTACTTCGAATACTTGAAATGTGTACAACAACACAAATTCATAAAGTCGGATCAATGACGTTGCCATCATCGAATTATCGCTTGTTGACACACGAAAGTACCAACTAATGCAGGTCTGATGCACCTTTCAATACTTAGAGGTTTTACGATAACACTCTATAAAAAATCCTTTTATCTGTCGATTATCTTTTTGTTTCTCTCGTTTTTCCTTCACCCGTGCATATGCCTGTAAATGCAGCATGAATATTAAAAAAAAAAAAAAAAAAACAAAAAAAACAATGGAATATATTCATCGATAAAAAAGAAAGTATTACAAGACTCGCATGTACAATATGTATGCATAGATATGTGCAAAAATGTGCCAATTAATTCCTGTATTTCGATGAACTAATTTCATCGCAACGCCAAGCGCGCACAAAGTTGATTACATAACAAATTTCATATATCTAAAATCGGCAAATATATCTAATATTAAATAATTTTGTAACGTGGAGCAAACAATATCGCTATCTCGCGACACAATCCTCGTGATAATCGATTGTGAGATGCCTCTGATTACAGAAAAATCGATGACTGCATACTCTTTTTTTAGATGCAGGCCAATATATCCGTTAGAAGTTTTCCTGTTCCTAAAACCTGTTTCTCTCTTTCTCTCTCTCTCTCTCTCCCCTTTTTTCCTCAAGTACTATTGGATTATTTCGCGCAAAACAGCCTGCATGATAATTATCGATCAGGCCTCTTACGTCAACGGTTTTTGCAAGATACGTGAAAGAGTTTGCTGTATTTGTACATCGAGATTTTCGCAAGACGTGCAAAAAATATTTCCATGACCGCTTTTAGCAAGACAAAAGAGATATTCGCGGTTTTCCTCGATTCGCGGCTTTCTATGAGGAAAATTAAACTGCAAAACTTGTCGCGAGATTAATGATGGAATGAATGGAATGGCTTAATCACGAATACTTAGAATTCTCGCTTGTTTAATAATAATAAGCGAACAAAAAATGAGAAAATTGTCTTGGACGGTCCTCCTCTTGAAATGTTAATTTAGTTCCGCCTGTTTTTCGGTTACGTACGACTTGCGTATATATACATATGTATAAACGCGATGACGGCTCTAAATCACTTTTACTTCAATTACGCGTTTTCATGCATGCACGCATGTCAAGGGTTCTCCACGTTCAAACAACGGTTAACGGTATACGGAAAAGAATTTTCACGCGTGTGCCGTTGCATGGCGCATACATTCTCCATGACTTTAAATCGTCGAAGGTGCCGACGAGGTCGTGCACGAGGAAGGAATAGCGATCGACTTGGTTGTTGACTCGGTGAATGGATAGGTGGGCCTGACAGATAATGGCAGGCTGTCAAGCTGTCGTTTCTACACAGCTAAAAATCAAGCGAAGACATCCTTTTTAACGTGACTCGTGGAACTTAAGGGATGATACCGCAACTCTGACCGGAAAATTCTCAAAGAAGCAGAGGAGACTTTTCCAAGATCGTTCCTCTCTTCTCGTCACGCCATCGAATTGCACGGATGCTTTTTCACCGAAAAGGCGAGGGCACTCTTCGGCGAGATACATATTATGTATGTCGAGGCACGTGCGTGCATACGTGATCGCACGTGGGCGCATCGACCGCGGAATAGAAAACGAGCGATCGAAGGTTCATTCACCAAAACGGGAAGGGAAACTGTTGCTGAGTGTAAGATTGAACGGAAATGTCCATCGCTTGCGAAGATCTTTTTGTCACAAAATTAAAAGTTGTAGATATTTCTTTTGTAACATTTGTAACATGTTGTTCTTCTAAATGTTAGAAAACGCGATTGTCATGAGATTCGTATATATATCTAATAATCTAATATACATATCCTGCATGTCTTATTATAGATAAAGAAAGTCTTGTTTTGCGAGTTATAAAACGTCATCGTGCATTCAAAGTGACCGGTAGTCAAATGCAGTGAAAGTAAAGTCGTGCAAAAATCTCCTCGCGCGAGCGATTTATGGGCAAAGGAATTGTAAAAAAATGCATATCGATAGTGGTGAAACAAGTGACAAGTAACGGGATAACAAGTCTATAAACACGAGATAAGTGCTGTAACGCGATCTAAGTCCAACAAAAAGCGAGTATCAGCGGATAGTGTGCAAACAATTTCTGTGTAAACAAATGGTTTAATCCGTTATAATCTAAGATGTTTTCTTCGTAGATTGTAGTCCATCCCTTTTAATCGTATTAAAAAAGATATATATATAATATAGATAATATAAGTGTTTTAACTAAACCGATTAGATATATTTTTATGTGTGGAATGAAATTACCCTTTGCGTTCGTAATTACGAAAATTATGTTAATCAAAGCTTAGAGTTTATTAAGCTTCTCGGATAATATCGGATTGATAACGTAAAATTTGCGACAATTGTTTGCAATTACAGGTGGCCGGTTACCGCAACGATGGGTGTTCGCATTAATGGGATTTCTGGCAATCCTGAATGCATATACTATGAGAGTCTGTCTCTCAATCACTATTACGGAAATGGCATATCCAATACATGTCAATTACACGGACGATTCCTGTCCGTATAATACATCGGACAATAAAAACGAAAATGACGCAAAAGATGCCCAACGCTACGACTGGGATGAACATACTCAGGTATGTGAAAGATATTTTGCTCAAATTTAATCGTTGATACTATCAAACTGTGTGTGCGTGTGAGAGACTATTTTTTATAGAGCTACTTGTTTTAGAGATCTCGCTGTTATAATTATTTATATCTTACCTTTAATAACCATCTTCTTCATCTTTTGATTCTAGGGTCTCATTCTCTCGTCGTTCTACTGGGGCTACGTTCTTACGCATCTGCCAGGAGGAATACTGGCCGAGAAGTTCGGTGGCAAATATTCCCTCGGTCTTGGCATTCTCTCGACAGCAATCTTCACCCTGTTGACGCCGGTGGTGGTCGATTGGGGCGATTGGATCGGCCTGATGGTATTGCGGATCTTCATGGGCCTCGGCGAGGGCACGACCTTTCCAGCGTTGAACGCTATGTTGGCACAATGGACGCCACCGGAAGAGAGATCGATGATCGGATCGATGGTGTTTGCCGGTGCCCAGCTCGGCACGGTACTGGCCAACCTATTATCCGGCCTGATCCTACACTCCTACAGCTGGCCCGCAGTTTTCTACGTGTTCGGCGGAATCGGCCTGCTATGGTTCCTCGTATGGGTGCTGATCTGCTACAACAATCCGTATGAGCATCCGTTCATTTCTGAGCGTGAGATGAAATACCTGCACGAACGTATGAACAAGCACACCCACACGAAACCGCCGCCCGTACCTTGGCGCCATATGCTGCGCTCGGCGCCGATCTGGGCGCTGATCGCCGCCCAAGTCGGTCACGACTGGGGTTTCTTCACCTTAGTCACCGATCTCCCTAAATACATGAGCAGCGTGCTTCACTATTCTATCAAGAACAACGGTTTGGTTTCGTCGTTGCCTTATCTCGTTATGTGGTTCTGCAGCATAGCAACATCCTGGCTGGCCGATTGGATAATTACCAATGGTATCATGTCACGCACCAATGTGCGAAAACTCGGTACCACTATCGCTTCCCTGGGCCCAGGTGTCTTCATCATTGGCGCCTCGTACGCTTCGTGCGATAAAACGTTGGTGGTGGCTATGTTCACCATCGGCATGGCTATGATGGGTACGTAATTCTGTTCGGTATATTACGACTTACAATTTACGCGCAAATTCTCTCTGACTCTCTTTTTTTCTCTCACAGGCACCTTCTATCCCGGGATGAAAGTCAACGGGCTGGATCTTAGTCCCAATTACTCCGGCACTTTGATGGCACTGGTAAACGGGATGGGTGCCTTTACCGGTATAATCACGCCATACATTGTCGGCGTGTTGGCGCCTGAACAAACACTCATCCAATGGCGGCTCGTCTTCTGGATCGTCTTGAGTTTCTTCGTCGTGACGAATATAATCTTCATCCTGTACGCCAGCGGCGAGGTTCAATACTGGAACGATCCTGAGTTCGTTATACGAGATCGGGAGGAGAGGCGGCTGCGTGAGGAGACAGGCAAGCAGACGCCTCCGAAGAAATCATGAAAGCCTTGTTCTTGGCGCAGTGCCCCATAAAGTTAAACGCTATTAAGCGCTTAATGAAACAGTCAAGCTTTTCTTCCGAAAAAAGAGATCTCGCACAGATATCCTAGATATCGTTTTTTTTTTTTTTCGACAAGCGCAAGTTCCGTCTTATCGTTTCTCCACATTCTTCGACAAGGATTTCATATCGCATCCGCATGACAATGAGATGTTAGATGAAAAAGACGTGTGTTCACTCTCGCACATAATCCTTGAATAATAATTCAAGCGTTAAGTTCGCACGGCTCTGGACGCCGCGAATTGTGAATGTGTATTATTCATCGCAATGCGACTTTTACGCAAGTACGCAGATTTTGTAGTAAAAGGAGGAATTGTAAATTAAAGACGATGGACAAATAATGCATTGTATATATTGCGGATTTTATATCAGATAAAAAGAGATTAAATAAATTTATAGTTAAGTTTAATTTAATTAATTAAAATATTAAAATAATTAAAATAATTAAAATAATTAAATAATATTAAAATAATTAATTAAAATATGTTAATTATATACATAAATCGCCAATATATCATCATTTCGCCATCGTCGAATTAAAATATAGTCGAGCTCTTCGGAAATCTCTGATATTTCTTAGGAAAATCTTATTGCGAAAGAGCAATTGATCATATATATTGACGAATTGGCCCAGAATACACAAACGAAAACAGCTGGTCTCAGAAATAAACACACATTTACTTAATAAATTTCATTTGATATGCAATGTACATAATAAATATATTATTTTATTTTATCATATATAAAATACAATGTAAAATGTTGTTCCACATCATTGATTAAACAATTCAAGTTTCGGCAAAGTTTGTCGGAGACTCGTTAAAAAACTACATAATATGCGTTTTTTCTTTTCTTTCTTCGTAATCACATCGCGTTACATGTAACTATAGATGCTCGAATTCCATTTGTCGTATTGTTATAATTCGAAGTTATATATTGTGCAAAAATGCACTTTACAAAAGTGTGTGATAATTCGCGCATTTCTTTTTAATATCGTTTTTGTTCAACTTAAGTTTTACACATACACATTTTATCCGTGCTAATTGTAAGGAACAGATGAATGTTTGTAATTCTGAGACCAACTCTGAAAGACCTATCTCACTGTTTAATAATTCACAGATTATGTTCACAGAAGAGATATCTGAAATGTATAAATGATGCCGACTCATGTTCTCATTGCATACCTCGCAAAAAAAAACAAGCGTATATCTTATAAAAATATGCAACAAGATATATCTATTCATCGATGATCCGCGCGCATTTCAAGAACCTGTTCTGCGAAATCCAGATCGATCAAGCTACATTATTACTATCTATTATCACTTTTTCACTGTTCTGCATTAACGTAGTATTTTAACAAAATTTAGATACCCTGATAACATACCGAAGATTTTTAAATTAAAAACAGTTAAAACAAAAAGCATATTATATAAAAATATAAATGCAAATTAAAGATTTTACTTTGATAAAATTATGACGGATTTATAATGTACAAAATTGTCAAAATTTTTCTCTTGGAGAGACAATGTGTTTGATATTTTATATACCCGACAACGAAATTGTAAAAAAGGAAAAAAGACAATAAAAACAGCGCATCTCGGTATTAAAGAAAATCAGCCGAGATACTTCTATGTAAATATAAACTGAAAACCAATTAATTATATAGATATTCGATTTAAATATCACTCGAGCATAAGAAATTGTTTTATTTGATTATCATTCAACGATTAATATCAGATGCGGTTCAGTTTTATGACTGGCTTCCGCTGTCGTTGTTTTTTTGAGAGCGATATAGATCCAAATTAAATATATGTGATAAAAATTAATTTGATATGAAAGTTATATAATACCAAGCGAAAAGGCATCTGAATTATCTTTTTTATATTATCAAAGTTGTATATAAAATTATATAAAATTTTAAAAGATTAGATAATTTTGTTCTTGTGTCGCATTCATATTTCTATATCGTTCTCAATATTCGATTTCGTGATACTTGCATGATGTAATTGAAATTACAGAACGTATCGCGTGCATTGTTATCTTAATGATGGCCAGATAGTACAACAGTCATTTGCTATAATTACGCGCTGCCAGATTTTTAACGAGCTTTATGCAGACGATATTTTAATAAGCGTCAATTAGTCGATGTATCTAGGGAGCAATATTTTCCTACGAGAAATACAGCGTGATGATATTCAAAATGCGTTTCTCCGCAACTCGAAAGATCGTGCCATGTGTATGGATAATTTAATCCATAATGCTTTCACAACGCGTATGTTTTACATAGATAGACATAATTTTTGCGTAGATTGCGTGTAGGCGCAAGAAATGCAGTCAGAAAAAAAATGTATTGCTTAATAATATGCATTACATGCTCTTGCTCTGGTTGCATTTTACAGCTTGTGTTTTCTTTTTCTTCTTCCTTTCTCAGAAATCTGAAAAATATATGTTCACATAAAGGTGTATAATATAAAGAGAAAAAAAAAGAAAAAAAAAAGAGCCGGAGTTTTTTATATTAAAGAATTTGGTTTTTCTTCTTCAAATAAAAGAATTTAGGCTGTTTTTCGAGAGTGGCTTTAAATATATTTCTGACAACATTTTTAATAAAAATGTTGTAAAAATCAATGATTTCCTTTCATATCTTTTCTTTCATTTGCTTGTATAAAATCAAATAATGGTCTATAAATACGAAAATATATAAATATAAAAAAAAATTTATATTATAATTCGTGTACCATCTCGAAATTTCAAGATACATAGCATTTGAACTCCCTAAAAAATTATGTCGATGCTACATAGTTGAGATAAAAATACGAATATCTTAAAAGAGATATGAAATAGTTTACAAATCTAGAATTTTTTGTAAATCCCGATATTACTTAAATTTAAATTTGCAATATATGTATTACGTCTCGTTTTTATGTCTTATAACAATTAGAATTACCTTTTATCGAGAACTTTATTACGAACGTAAGAAAAAGCGGTTCTTCATTGGTAGCTACCTGTTAGCTTATAGCAGAGGAGAAGTCTGAGAGGAGCCACGCCGCCGTTTTTCGTAAGACGCTTTTTCTAACTGGTAGCGCCAACTATTTTAGAGCCGGCAAAACTATATGGCCAGGTTCACTTTTCCGTGCCACGGTAAAACGGCCGGTTGGTGCATGTCCGTGCTAAATACATAATTGTGGATTAAAAATACGGAGAAATATTATGGATTTATTAATGTTTTATTAGCTGCGCGTGATGTTTTGTTATTCTAGTATATACTACAGCGATAATAAAAGTTATTATTGAAGTATTTTTACGTATATGCGCATGTGACATAAAATAAATTTTCTTGAATAAATTTTCTTAATAATATTTTTAAATATAATTTTTAAATATATAACGTATAGAAGATATTTATAATAAATTGCTTTTACTTTTTTCTTATTTTTGAAACAAAATTATCAAGCATTTTAAGCAATATCAAATTATGTTTTTAATTTATATAGCTTTTTA